TCATCAAATAACAACCACAGAGAGGAATTCCGACGATTTTGTTTTTTCTGCATGAAAAAAAAAAAAAAAAAACGTTTTATCAAAACCAATTTCATTTTCATCAAAATCGAAGAGTGCGCCCGTGGGATGAAATATAAGAATATTGATACATCAATATCTGGTTTTGGTAAAAATCGATTGTGTCATTCTGATCGAAGACTGCTGCTGTCCAATTAAAACTCGTATACTCGGTGTAATACGTGTACAGTTTTAACAGATTTCTGAAAATGAATGTAAAAATAAGTATAATTTGGTCTTTGTAGAATTGTTTTATATGTATCCTGTTCTACAAGCTTTCTTGGTTTGACATAAAAGTAGGTATATTGATTTGTCTATGATTGGTCTATCCACAATGAACTGGTTCGATCCTTGACAACACTAAAACACCGAAAGATAAAATCATACGATATGATAAAGACATTTAAACAAAGAAGAGTGTTTATATCGTTAGATAATTTTATGATACATCTGGAAAACTAACATCAGTCTTTACCGTAATTTAGTGCATCTATCTAACGTGAGTTGTAGGTTTGAGTCAGACTCTTTTTTAATCTTTTGTGCGACTCGTATTAAAATTGCATGCGTCCTCCATACATTGTATCTGTGTTCTACAGCAATGTGCTTGTATTCAATTAAAACAAACAAGGACATTTATATTACATTGACATAGTTATGAACTCTGAATCTAAACTTAAAATTGACCAAGATTTAGACAAAGGGTGTCGTAAATAAATCAGAAAATGCGAGTATTTGGAAACGATTTTGTAAACGATTTGTTATTCATCAGTTTTATAGTATATGATATTAAACACGAGAAAAAATAACTAATTAGAATGAAAGGAAATAAGATAATAATTAGATAAAAAATGTCCCGACTGCGCTTCGAGCACCCAACCGTAAAAAATTCCTTGTTATTTCTATATAGCTGCGGTACCGTAAATTTATCGACTGTTTGCTCCACAATACATATTCAGCTAACCTATAAATTATCTGGTATTGGCTTGCGTCTTTAAAGAAAAAGTAGCCGATAAATTTCTGGAATACGTGTAACTTCCGTGTAGAAGTTTTGTAGTACTGGCTCCTTCAAACTATAATATGATCAAGTGCATTGATGTAGCATTTGAAACGATATGGAAGCGTTGACGAACACAGAACATTGAAGTTCAATGGAAAATACTTGTACAACGTTCTCGTGTCGTTTAATCATCTAATTTTGTCAATATGTACTCGGGTCGGTTTTTGTATTTGCATCTCATTAACATAAAAATTAGCATTATAATATACCTGAAAGTACTAATCTAATCATCATTGTTATCCTTAATATTTTTTTATTCTTCCGCCGCAATTTGTCAGGAAAATTTAAAAAAAAAAAACTGTATGTTCGATTCAAGTGAAACATTGCATGAGCATAGATAGCTATGCGGAGTTGTACTTCCGGCTATTCCTTTTTCGACCGAACATCATGCGTCTGTTTACCTAATATAACAGGCTAAAACTCAAAACCTTTTGGTCAGATTGAAATGAAACTATATGTGAATATTCATGACCATATAAAAATTTGTTTGTGATATTTTTTTTTTCCAAAATCCAAAATGGCCGCCGCAGATAGTGAAATTTAAATGTTGTCCAATTTTGATTAGACAATGACACTAGGCTATGGTATTATATAAAGAACACAGCGTTGTAATTATTCTTTTTCTCTATAACTACTAACATAGCTGCCAAGAATGATTAAATTCTGAAACTTTAATAATGTTAACGGTGTATGATCTTTTTATAGGTGTATCTGTTATCTGATGTCCAGTATCGTCTTCAAGAATCTGCTAACTGACCATTGGTTTACCGGAGTCGTTCACACCTTGACTTCAAAGTGTCATGACTGTTAGAGCCGACGATTAAGAATATGTCACGATCTCCACATAAAACGTGAATAAACTTACCTCACAAAGGCAACACTGTAGTTGTAATCTATACTCAAAGAAACAATTTTACCGGTGAGGATAAGATATCTCTGTCTTGCCGATGTAAGACAACTTGCACGCAAAGGACATTAAAATATTATGCAATTTCAAATTGTTGCATCTCAACATGCTTTAAAACGACGTAAAGCTTTATATCGGATACAGAGTACTGTGTTAAACATCCATAAAACAGTAAACCACTTTAGAAATTATATCATTTATCATGCACAATCAGATACTACGGTCTACTACATAGGACATTGACACTTCAATACTATTTAATATATATGTAACAGTTTGATTTTAACTACAACGTCCTAGTTGTGATGTACCGACTCGTTACTTGTTTCCACCCAGGTATAGTTTCGCTTTTAAAGCACCTTTGTAATGAATGCTGTACAAAAAAGAAGTTTTTAATCTGAATTAAGCACAATCTTAGGAACTTATATAAATGACTAGATAAGTATTCTTTATTTATTTTACAACAATTGCAAAGCTAGTTTTTCCAACTTATATTAATCACTCTTGCTGGCTCGGAAGGAAGCGCGCGAAGGATCTTAGTGTTGGAGGAAACGGAGTACCAGGTGGAAAACCCACGTGGTCGGACAGGTGACCCCATACCCATGTCATTAGACTTCGTCAAACACCGTAAAATGTGAGATTAAAGTTATTGGTGCACTTACCGTGACAGCGAAATCAGACAACGAATCCCTTAAAATAAGCTTTTACGCCTTTACATGACATGTACGCGATACAACTGAAATAATGCTGTTTTTATCAAGACGTGTGTTATGCGCAAAGCATTATGGCATTCAAAAACTAAATATAGCTGCTTAACTTACATATTGTCTAGTCAGTCTGACAGGTTCGATCGCGTAAGGCTGACTACCTTCATTAGTGATGTGGTTAGGCATTTTTTTCGGAATATGTTTTTCAATTACGGACTACGACAATATTCAATAAGTACTTTAGTTCATTCTGTAGGGAAATTGACATTTTCTTCATCTTAAATACGGACAGAGAAAACTAATAGTATGAGTATGGTGTAGGTGAAAATTATTTAGTCCGGAAGTGAATTTCATATGTATCCAAATTTATGCAATATTAACGTATTTTCATATCGCGTATCTCTGTGCACAGGTGGGCCAGTTGTGAAATTAAATTAAAACTTCGACTAAATGCTAATAAGATAATTTTAATATCTACAGTAATACGACATGCAACACCAGCCGGTCTACTGAAATAGAAAACACTTCTTTCCCATGCTCATTATATATACGATATCCAATACGAGACCTAAGTTTAGCTATTATATTACAGATTTGAATATACAATGTAGATCCAAGTCTGATATTACAACTGATCAAAGTCCGTGATCATCATTCGCAGCACATAAGAAGCAAACTCATATCAGATATTCATTTTATTATCTTACTTGCATCAAAAACGATAGAATTAGCAAAGTATAGATACATAAATCATTTCTGGTTGAATAACTTGTTGTTTTAATGCCACAGTCACCCGTGAGGATGGATGGTGGTGGTGGTGGTGGTGGTGGCGGGGGGGGAGACAAATTTAAGATTCTATTTCTCACGAGTCAGAATTATCACAGTATGCAAAAATTATCCAACAGAGATAACCTATATTAACCTAATGGTAAATAAGTTGACTCAGAAAACACACATTGAAGTTTCAAGATAATAAAAAATATTGATATGCTTCATATGCAACTTTTCGTTTAAATGAGGCGAAACAGGCAATGTTTCGATCAGTAGGAAACGTATTCATTTCTTAACAATAGACACTAAAATGTCAAGACTTAAAACTCTTCTGTTTTGACTCATCTGAACTTTGATGAAAGTAAATGCTTATCAATATTCTATTCAGAAAACAACGATATTTTATTCGCCATGTATTTTAACTACTTATATTTACAAAAGCGTTTCAATGTTATCAAAATCACACGTCTAGATAATAGAATGGAATCCATTGCATTCATCCATTTGTTGACGTTGAACATTTCGAGTTTTTAACATAGCAACTCAGTTCAGTCGAAACAATGGATAAGTCGAGTGCTTTTTTTGCCTCGTTGACTTCAACTATACATTTTTCTTGTAATGTGAATTTAAAATTTGAACACCTAAGTAACTGACAACAATGTACCAACGTATCCCTTTAGCAGTTGTTACCGCAACAGCTACAATATATATTTTTAAAATGAAAGATGATACTATCATAGGAAAAAACGCTGTTATGAATGAACAGACCCCGATGGGGTTGTAATACTTTTGGAACAAATTCCGAGTTTGCTCAATCTTTTTACTCGTACCACATCTATGTATGCGGTACTTGTGTACGCACTGACGACCCCCAAATATGGAATATTCCTTAAATACTATTTCTGCTAAAAGTAGTCTACTCGAATAGGGATATTTCTCAGTGAAAATTCCCCTATGTTGGGAGAATACCGAGTCCGATCAGTCATATTTTGGACCAATCGTTTCCTTAGAAATAGTAAAGCTTTAAAATTGACTAATTATTGTGTAAAGAGATGTTTTCATACTGTCCAGAACAAAACCAGATCCTATTAGTTAAATACCCCAGGACCAGGCCCCTAAAGGTGTATTATTCGCATGGTGTTATGGAATAAAAATAAAGTTTATATTAAATATGAAATATTATAGGATAGTTCAAAAGTGAAAATTAGCATTTATGTTTTATTTAAAGCAGATTTAACGATGTGATATACATACGCAATTATGTGTACTGGGTTTTTACAAAGATATTGTGTATCGATAAATTCTGATTTTAACAAAACAATTCTCCGCCCACTGGATTTACGTTCTGGAACAGAAGTTTTTTAATCTAGCTCGCAATGCGCAGATGTTTGGGTAACAACCATCGTTATTTAAATTAAAAAACATCTAGAGTCTAGAGGATCTTTGTGGTAATATACCCATGTACTTGAGTATGTCCCTATTAACTTCAGCGGTGTCCAAGATGGCTGACAGCGACGGAGTGGTGGAAATAGAACTACTAGACGCCAAAGAGAAATCCTTCAATGCTTCATCAAAGCGAGAGGTTTTCAGTCGGAAACTTGAATATATGTTAGCTTTGATAGGATTTACCATCGGATTGGGAAATGTCTGGAGATTTCCATATTTATGCATGAGGAATGGTGGAGGTTAGTTATTTTTCAATACCGATTTTTATTTTAGCAGGACAGGTTTTTCCCATTTCAAACGCCTCGAAAACATCTGTTTCCTTATCCTTTAGTGTCCTTTGTCTGTTATGTTGATGCATTTAAAACGACATCATACAGCTGTTTCGTCTCTGGAGATCTTAAATAAGTATTAAGCGTATAAACACGCATTAGAACTATCCATTCAATAATAAATCTTGACACAAGCTGTATACTGAATATTGGCTTCTTCCGGGACAAAATGGACGACGGAAGCGAAATGATTGAAGCAGGACTATTAGAAACCGAGAATAAACCTAATTATGGTTCGTCAAAAAGAGAGGTTTGGAGCCGAAAAATTGAATATATGTTAGCTTTGATAGGATTTACCATCGGATTGGGAAATGTCTGGAGATTTCCATATTTATGCATGAGGAATGGTGGAGGTTAGTTTCGTTTTCTTCTGCTTCATAGAATAGTTTAATTTTGCTGTTATGAGTGTTAACGGCATTTCATTTATCTGTAGAAAAGGAAACATCTGTGTATTTTTATCTAGACTTTTTCGCAGTGACATAAGCGTTTGTGTACATAATTCATCTGTAAATAAAAAAAAATTACTTGTATCCAGCGGCTGTTTATTTCGAAACATTTCTAAGCAGGATATTTGTGATCTATTTATCTCGACTTTTCCATTGTGACTTAAGTGTTAAATGCATTAATTAGAAATAATGAGAAAACATATGTAAATGATAAAATATTCACTCAAATAACGACTTAAACTGTAATATGAAACACGTACCTTTTTTTTTCATCCTAATGGTGATAGGACGAAACAAGTAAAATTGTGACCAAAAACATCCACTGATGCAGCATAAACACACGTTTTGATCCAATTGTGTAATGTTTTATCGGCTATTTCAAACATCACTAAGTTTGTCAATCATTTTTACACTAAATAAACGTCATAGATTATCAATGATTTGCGGCACTATCGGGACTGATTAAGAAATATTCACTGTGCTTGACCAAACACAAAGATAGTGTTGCTAGTAACATGAACACATCAGAGCATACCTAGAGAACATAGTCATTATGAAAAGTGTCAGTCTCTTTCTGAAGTAGAGTAGAAATATTCTTTTTCATTGAAATTATTCAATTCCTAAACCTAAGTTTCAGCAGTAAATACTATTAGTAAGCGTTTGAAGTCGTTCAGTCCTTAAGTGTCCATAAAATTGAAGAATTTTAGGAAAATACATATATCAGATAGGACTGTCTTCGTTATTTTCACATTTGTCCTTGATCACATACTGTATATATGTTTTTGTATGGTGTTTGATCAATGGTCCGAAGTTTAAATAGATCTTGATACTTAAAAAGTACTTAAAAAGGATAACGTTAATTCCTATTCGGTAGACTGATTCTATGTAATGTACACTGTAATATATAATTCTGAACTAAAATCGACAACTGTATTATTGCAGGTGCGTTCCTTATCCCGTTTGTGATATGCATGGTGACCTGTGGATTGCCGTTGTACTATCTGGAGCTTTCTCTCGCACAGTTTGCTGGAAAAAGCACTCTTGTCGTCTGGGAAATTTGTCCCCTTCTACGAGGTAATGCCATACCGAATGTGTTTTCAATGATATTTCTTATCGGTTAAATGTTCAACGATGAACTCCGTGATTTCTTGTAACGGAGTTGTCACTGTGATACAGGTATAAAACAACATGTTAGGTATAGTTAAGGACAATGTTGAAAAGTATGAAATTCAGTTTTATGTTTAAACGAAACATATTGTACACTTGTGGGATCGCACATCGCTACGCGATGTGCAATGTGCGCACGATGTCTGCACGATGTGCGCACTATAGAAAATATGGGCAAAATAAGCTATCACACATTTGTGAGCACGTTGTTCGGTTCTATCGCACCAGATGTGCGATTCTATAGTGGCGTATATAAATTAAGAAATGACTTACAAATAATATAATATGGTTTATTTATTTTCTAAATATATTATTGTACGCACTGTATCGTGCGTGTATGTACGCTCGATCTCTGCACGATGTGCGCACGAAGCTTTTCGTGCGCTGTGCGTTACCACATCTGTGTATATATTTTATAGAAGCCGAGAAAGAGTAGTAAATATATATGGTGTACTTTAAAAGAGTGAAAAAAACATTTGTTCCCTTACAAATAAGAAAATGATATGTTTTCGTAATAGGTATAAAGACGGAGTAAGCAAATCGAAAAGACAATTTCTGTCGTTAAATAAGCCGTTGTGTTTGTATAGATGGACTTGTTAATGATACTGGTGGCTCATGCTTTTCAGATCTCGGAGACAAAAATATTAGATTCACTAGTTCAACCAATTTCATAACTTTTTGAAATTAAGACGAACCGAAAATAAATATATTGTGGTCTGTTGTTTCAGGTTTGGGGTTTTCCATGTGCTGTATCTCCTTCATATGTACTTGGTATTCCGGTCTGATCATGGCGTGGACACTTTGTTATTTGTTCTACTCTTTCTACCCTATATTACCTTGGTCCACGTGCGATAACTCCTGGAATACGGACAAGTGCGTCACATTGAGGACCAAGATAGAGACACCCTACAACGTCACATCCTTTGTCAACAAGACGCCTTCAGTTGACAATCTGTCTATGACAGCATCAGAAACTGTCACAAACATCGGCTTCTACCCGACGGCAGCAAATGAGTTTTGGAGGTAAGTTTTCTGATATCAACGATCACGATATTTAAAGACATGAAAAAAATGAGGCATTTTAAATATTGAAAAAAACAGCATATTTATATCATAAGAAGGAAATGTATGTCAAAGGTTAAATGATAATTATATTGTTTAGTTGTTATGACGATATATGATGTGCTTTGTAAAACTGGTCTTAGGATATATAGGACTGGAATAATATATATTCGTGTATCTATCAATTTACATATCTAACTTGTTCATATCAATTTAAAACGATATTGCACGTTTACTCATACATATTTAATATATTAATTCAATATATATGAATGATTTATTGTAGATTTTAATCCAGAATATCTCTGATGTACATGTACAATCACAATTATTGTGTTATGGTACAAACGGAAAGTTCCTTGATGTACTTACCAATAAGTCTACCCGTCATGTATTTCACTCAGTTTTGTCATCAAAAATCAATAGTCGATGGTCCTGTTTATACGTGTCACAACAACCGATGAACATATGTTATAATAGATTCTATATGACGTGATGTTTAACAGGAATGAATTAAAAACCGTCAGGCAATTTGTAAAATGAGTATCATTCCTGACTGAAACACACTGAATGTGTTATTCATAACATACATTCACAATACAGATTAATTCGGCACGAATGCATTGACATTGTATTCCGTTATACTCTCATGGATCACGTTACCTTTACCAATAGAGATGATATTTTAATTATAATCACAAATTGTGGCAGTCCTGCGGATTCGATTTCCAGTTTAGTTATGGAATTTCCACCGGTAACAATAGGTCCATGCATCATAAACCGTTATTCATTGACTAACAATGACGTCTCTATTTTAAAGATAAATAGCAGACTCAGTGATGTATTTTGTTGAAGCATAAATAATTTAACCACAGGTCAGTGATCTACAGCGTTTGCTTAATCATTACCTACCATTTTTTACCTACATTGAAGATAGGCATCCATTTTGCTGCGCCAGTTTTACATTCCTGACATCAAGTCATCGTCTATGTTGTGATATTAGAATTGATTTCCTACTGGCGATGCCAAAGGAATCGCTCCAGAATATATTACACTAATGAAATATGCAAAATTATTGTATCGGGGAGTTCACTGGATAACAGTCCGATAATGTAATAAATGAAGATATCCGTGCGCATTATTATCAGTAATACATATACCATAATAATACATCACCTATCAATTTATTCATTCACATGAAGTTTTCCATGTCATAACCTCATTTGATTATTCCTAGAATTTCAAAATTTTCAAAAAGTAGAAAAAAAAAATTATACATAACAAGATGAAAATTAAATGATCAGTTTTCTGAAATCGTTAGTCTCAGCTTAAATAACAGATTCCTCAAATAACTGACTAAAATATCCGTATTTCTACTGAGCACTTTTAGGGACACACAAAAACATTATTTGATTTCGTGAACACGGGTTATTATGTCGTGCGCAAGGGTTATATTGTCATGCGCACGAGTTATTTTTTCACGTGCAAAAGTTAATGATCTCGTGTGCATAAGTTAATTATCTCGTGCAGACGAGTTATTATACTGTGTCCACGAGTTAGATAAGTTTGCACATAGCGCGCATGTACAACAGCATTGCGTTGCATAAACATAAATTCATTTTCGCTGTTTTACAGATACCAAATATTGAACGCTTCTAGTGGCCTGGACGACCTGGGTATCCCACAGTGGCATATTGTCCTTGCACTTTTTCTCAGCTTCACGATCACATTCCTGTGTATCGTAAAAGGTGTGAAATCTGTTGGAAAGGTAAACCAAGCATTTTTTGAATGTATCATTTTTGTGTTTGTCTACAGGACTCATCAAAACATATTCTGGTGATTCTGATGAATAATTGAGACAATTGAATAAAAGATTACTTCTGGCATCTAAGCCATTACTTTGACAACAGAATTTCGTCTCTGACATTATTGGGTTTTCCTATGAGATAATAGTACACTCTGTATGATACATATTTTCGTGACTATCTTTTAATGTCTATAATTTGTACTAGTACATAAAACGGATTATGGAACGGCACGGCCAGTTCGCCTACTTGGCATCCGTGACATTTTAATACAATTAGAGAAACTGTCATGACTTTGACCTCAGACTTTCTCATTAACCCCTCTATTGCTAATGATTTAGCTTAAGGTGGTAGACACTGCCGGTGGATTTAAAGTATTAGAGGTTTGCTATAACGTACATGTCTCGTTTAAGCTATTAGGCTCAAAATACACACAAGTAATTGACATTCTTTTAAAATCATGAGATTTATGAATATTCCGAAATTTATAGAACTTCTGAGCTAGTGCACTTTCCCATATAGGCTATGAAATTTATTTCAATTAATTTCATATTTTCTCAGTCACCTCCTAGATTTCAAATTTTAATCCATTATTATCAATGACAGATCTGTGGTGCAGTTTAATTCATTATTTGGTTCTAATGCATCTTTAGCTCTAACTCTGTATTGAAAGTCATTCTTCACTTGTGTGTCTTTTGTACAGCCTTCAAGTATTTTCTTGAACTGTTTTGTTGTTCTTTTTAGTGGGCTTCATTACATCTGTATATCTGGTTCATTCATCGTGATCCTTTTGTATATCGTCCTAAATATTGGAATCTGGTTTTCTAAATCTCTGACTTCGTCACATCAAATTGCATTACCAATGATAAAGTGATACTACAGATCACTCGCACTAGAATAGACAAGATGTTATTCTAAACCTTCCGTTGTAGGTGGTGTACGTATCCGCATGTCTTCCATACCTACTGCTGACAATCATTCTCATTCGAAGTCTCACTCTTGAAGGCTCTGTTGATGGGATACTATATTTCATCAAACCAAATTTCGAAAAGCTTGGTCAATTTCAGGTAAGATATATCAAAGGAAAAATTAGTAAATTGATAAGAAAAACTATAAATAGGTTCCTTTATCATCTCCTCCACTTGATTTGGCGTTTACATATTTCTCATTTTAAACTTGGTGGTTTTAAGCTTCGTTGATTGGAAACTGACGCACGTTTTTTGTAATTTTTGTTCAAAGAAGCAAATGTGTGCGTCTGTGAACGAAAAAAAAATCAAGAATATACCAACATGGTAATAAAATCAAAATCGAAACTCAATTCCATAAAACTAGGGCAAATTATGAACAAAAGTATTTTACGGAGGATCCTGAAAAAAAGTACAAGGATAATAAGACCGGGTGTTTCGGAAGAGTAAGCGTCTTCTACGTTATCGACGACACAACCTATGTTAACCTTGGTCAATCCAAGTAAGTTATGTCATGTTCCAACCAGGTAAACAACAACGGAACCAACAAGAAAACTTGCATTAAACACGTCCAGTTTTAAATATGTGTATTTTCTGAACCGTGCCACTATTCGAAGGAATATAAAGCATAGATGTATAAAGTCAAAGACATTTAAACCAAAATCCCACAATCTTACTTAGAATTATACTTGTCAACTGTTTTATGTGCATCTCTGTTTCGTTGTAGCCGTTGCTATATTCATGATAATGATAATTGATTAAACGATTTTTTCATCTTAGAATACAGTCATAATATATGCCGAATACAGATATTAACTAGAAATATCAATATTACACTTAAGCAAGTCGTTTGACTACAAGCTTTCGAATGGAAGTATTCATTAGATAAAATAATCTTCAAAACCTAAGAGGTAAAATATCTTACATCTCCCTTTTCCATATTCTAGAGACAGAAGTCAGTCTAAGTTGAGTAGATATATTAATCGTCCGCTGAAATGTCTTATAGGTTTTCGTGACAGACGTAAGTTCTGAGAAAAGGATAATTAAATAGGCAACAGCTTTTGCAAAGTTATACTATATTTGTAAGATATATCCTATATTTAACGTTTTCATTCATGCTAATTTTGGCACGGTTTACAATATATACATATACTTAATGTTCTTTTGAAATGATCAGACACATGGAGAGTCCCGTCTTTATTCAATTATCGGAATAATGTACCTCCCCATTTAGATTTTGACATCCCTGTCGATCACATTATAATTTCTTCAGTGAACTCAAAGGTCTCAGGCATTTAGCAGCACTTACGAACAATTTTTTTTTCTCCTATATCAAATTCTCAATTAAAATGTGTCATGGACTTGTGTGTCTTTTATCTTTTTTTGTTTAATTTTATTTTAGGTATGGTTCGAGGCAGCGGTACAGGCATTTTTCTCGCTAGGTCCAGCGTGGGGAGGTGTGCTCACAATGGCTAGCTTCAGTGACTTTAAAAACAAGACGCTTCAGTAAGTTATACACAACAGTATCTATAATGGACTTTTAAACATAGCTTTAAAATCCTGTAGCATTGTAAGGCACATATAAATGACCCTCTTATATTACAGAATGATACGTCTCATTAAAATGTCAATGGACATCAACTGAATACAATGAGATTATGTTCTATTGGACGATTCAGCTGTATGGTGAAGTTAAATTCATCGTTTGGCTCTACTGTATCGAATTCTAAACTTTTAATAAAAGGTGATATTATTAACTTGTGTGTCTTTTGCACAATCTTAAAACAAAATTGAATGTTCCTAAATAAAGTGATTTAGTTAAGACTTCTATTCCTGGTGACAGAAATTTAATTACTCTAAGGTTTGCTTTGCTCTTTAAAATTAATACATAGATGAAATTATATTATTGAAGATGGCGTTTATGCTATATTTTCCAGTGATTCGCTGGTAGTGTTGGTGGTGGACATATTTACGGCGTTTTTCTGTGGGTTTGTCGTTTTCTCCATTGTTGGTTTTTTGGCCCAGGAAGCCAATCTCACCATTGATGAAGTTGCTGAATCAGGTATGGTTTGCAAATACGATACTTCAGCTATATTGGCATCGAAATTTGCAAGTGCTTCACGACAGATACCTTGCACTTTATAACTGAGGTACTCAAGAATCAATAACCGTTTTACAATACACAAAAAACAAAAATGGATGGCACTTGAAGAAAGATATTAGAATGAATGATCTGTTATAGGAACACAAGAGTACATTTATCGCTCTGATAATGCTAAGATTTAATAAGAGTGAAACCTGTGTAACCTTTTAGGCGTGACATATCCTTAAGCTGTTCAGATATATCAAAATATAGGATTCTGTGGCAAATCTATTTGCTTAAATCAATACAATAGGATTTTTTCCAGCAGGATTCTATACTTGTTTAATCTTGATATATTCTTAATGTTTAGAATGTTTGGTTATACTTTCAAAAAGACTGTTTTTGGTAATCCTCACAGAAATATTCAAGCATCTTTGCTAAAAATATAATCCATTTTTGTTAAAAACCTACTTTGTTTGCAAATATCAAAATCTTTCCCCACAAAATTAAAAAAACAATTTATGTCTATCTAAATTATAGGTCCTGGCCTCGTATTTCTAGCCTACCCAGAAGCCTTAGCGAGACTTCCGTTACCTCAGCTATGGTCTGTGCTGTTCTTCATTATGGTGTTTAATGTTGGATTGGATTCTGAGGTAGGTAGAATACTATTATAACACCTCTGTAATATAGAATTGTGACAGTAGTTGACTTTGAATACTTGTATTATAGAAGTCACTATGTAAAGTATTCATGATAGGACAAAAAAACTTAGTTAAATTGCATCTGCACTAATCTAAACAAAACAATACTAACCATAGTCCGGCGGATGGGACTTTAAATGGCGGACCGTGTGTGGACTGTCCCATCTCGCACGTAAAATAATCTCCTGCTGTTATCCTTATTAGAGTAGAGGGGTAAACGCCGCCCAGGAAACCAAATAACTAATAACTTCCTTATTAAAAGTATAACCCATTAGGCATAGACTTCTATATTCTTTAATCAAAAAGTTAGAACCCGGCATTAGGGCAGCCTGGACAACATGGATAGGACCTCATCTACCACCAGAAGTCCAGATGCACAACACCAGTAGAGAAGAGTGGAACCATTAGGCCAAATTCCAAATTCTAGACTAACCCACACACAGACGACTCCGCCCAATGAAGGGGTGTGGCGCACCACCTTCACGTCGTTAGAGAATCGATCTCAGTCGAGGTGACAACGCCCGGCAACAGGAAGAGTCATGGAAACGTAAAACACCACCACCACCACCACCACCACCACCACCACCACCACCACCACCACCACCACCACCACCACCATCATCATCATCATCACCATCATCATTATAATAATAATAATCATCAGATCACTATCACGGAAGATACATCTGTATTATAAAGGAAAGACAGGAATCCCCGGTAGATAACTCTGTGATAATAACGTCACGTGGTAATACACGTAAATGAACTCTGTATTAACTCCTTCCGTACCGCATTGTCCGTCCGGGTTCCGCACCGAAAGTATTTTTAGTCTCATCCCCGGAAATGTGTAGCGGAATTTGATGGGTTCGATCATCGGCGACCATTTAGCTCAGTAGGTAGTCTAGAGTTCGGAATGGCCCGGGTTCGAACCCAATGTGACTGCGTATTTTCTCGCTCCTGTAACATAAGTTTAATAAAAATTGCGGCGGGACAGTGACGATAACGGTTAAGAGTCTATTCGACCTTCCAAGGAAATACTGTAGCTTTCACAATCTTTAATATTGTCATTTTATATCGGGATCAAATTTACAAAGTCTGTCAACACTTATATTCCCGTTATACATTGCTAATTTTCCATTTAGTGCAATTATTTCTTTTTTGGCAATCACGCAATTATATTTTGTTTTCTGCAAATTTTGTAGTATTAGTATTTAAAAGATGATAGGGTAACACATTTTTTGAATTTTAATTCAAAATGGAAACATATTTCCAGTTGCTGCTTTTCAAATGAGAATTAACTTTGTGCTTTTGGTGTTTCAAGTGAGAGTTCTGACTGAAGGTATAACATTGAATAACATGACAGGCTAACACATTTTTCCTGTTTTGAGTTTTAATTCAAAATGGAAATATATTTCAAGCTGCTGCATTTGAAAAAATGTTTCAAATGAAAATTAACTTTGTGCTTTTGGCGTTTCATGTGAGAGTTCTGACTGTAGGTATACCATTGAATAAGATGACAGGCTAACACATTTTTCCTGTTTTAAATTTTAATTCAAAATGGAAACATATTTCCAGTTGCTGCATATCAATATTTGGATTAAAGAGGTCACGTGGGAAGACATTACGGTAAACTGTATTATATACTGGGTTCTTGTGAGATTACAAGCAAGAAAATTGTATTTCAGAGTTCAGCGTAGATAACTCTGCTTTACAGAAGTAACACCGACATTCACGGTAGATAACTCAATAGCACATCATAACTGTTAAAGTTTCTTGATTACTCTCTGATAGAAGTTACATACAGTGCATGGTCGATAACTCTCGCGTCGATTAGAACAGTTTATTTCCAATATGTTTTTATCTCCTTTATCCCTGACTTCATAGTCCAATGAGAAATGTCCTCCATATATCGTCAAAACGCCTTAAAATATTATTTTTTTGTACACGAAATGGTTTTGATAGAGCCGTACGAAATTATATATAACTCCTTGTGATACATATGTACACAGATACGACACAGAAAAATCTACGGAAGTGGAATATGTATCGACTTATGATTGAAGTCCATCTGGATAGACATTTCTTTAGAACGAGTACGTGCCTTGTTATGAAAGAATTCCATTGGTTGTAATCAATGACATTCGTTTATATATATAATATATATAAATCGCCATCAAAATCCATACAACGTCAATTACCATAACTTTTCCCTTGTTAGTTTGCTATGGTGGAGACAATAACATGTGGACTCAAAGATATGTACCCGAAGGCTTTAGGAAAACGAAAATACCACTTACTTCTGGCAGCCTTTACAGTGTATTTCATAACCAGCATAATTCTAGCGACTCAGGTAGGTACTGTAACAAACAATTCTTCAACATCTACAGTATTATTGTTAGTATTGTCACAGTTTCTTGCATTTGCAAATACTTACATTTCTTGTGGAAGATGAAACTAAGTTCAAACGAACCAGTAGACGATGAAAAGGAACATCCAATATACATTGTAAATTAAACAATTTATGAAAACAAATGTCCATGACTCGTTTATCATTTCAACTTGTGAAAGGTATTTTTCGGTAGTGCATAAAATGAGACTGATGTAGGAAGAGTACCCAGTAACCTTACAATCTGACTGACCACTACAATCAAAATGCAATAATTTCCTATATTCGGGGTTTGTGATTTGTGTCTGTATTTCTCTTTGATAATTCTTTTGATTTTTTTTTAAAAATCAAGAACAGATTGCAGCTAAAGATCATTAAGATGTGTCATACTTTATTAAAATGAAACGAAATTTATCTCGGATCATTGCAAGTTCCTCATAAATGCTCGTTTTAATTCAACACAGTATGCAAAATCTTTTACAGTGTATGATGTCATTTCCAGTCCCAACATGGTGTGAGGTGGCTTTTAATCTTTGTCTGCCTCAGGAAACAGATGTAGTTGTAAATTACATTTAAGTGATCAGTGTTCATTATTCAGTATCTGCTAACTGGGGGAAAGGGAGTCTAAGTGAGGAAGTTGTGTTGTTGAACGCTAGAAGCTGTCGTTAGTGTTACATATACATATTCGTTAATGTTTCATGCAATCAAGAAGCCCTAGATCGAATAATAGCGTCTGATTGTTTTTGTTTCAGGCTGGTGTATACATTTTCCAGTTGATTGACTGGTATGCCTCTGTCTTTTGTATCTTCTTCATGTCCTTCTTGGAGTGCGTCATAATCGGATGGCTATACGGTAAAATTTCTTATTAGTAAAACATTGAAAAAAATCAATTGGTGTTTTGTTTCTCCAAATATTCATTAAATCATGAAATTTACGTTAAAGTTATATTCAAGTACTTCAATTAAATTACTTTAAGTTGATAAATTTATGAAGGCATTTTCGAATATCTGAGCATTAGATGCAATTTTCAGTATATCACAAACGTCTTTATGAATCAGAATATCATTTAAGTCATTTTAAATAATGGCAAAGACACATGCCCACTTATTCAACTTTCTACCCCACCGGGCAGAAATAGCCACACCTCCGGTGAGGGTATGCTATCTTACCCCGCAAGACAACCTGCACACACAGGAAGTGACGTTTAGGGTCCGTGAAATTGTTAATGACGTCTTTTTTATGATGTGTCGGGGTCACTTTGTGGTCAATGACGTCTTAAACAAATGCCATCCGGGCCTTAAATGCAAATGCCTCTACCGATGGTTAGCGTGACACAAGTGTATTTATTTGTTTATTTAGTTTTAAGGATATCAAGGGGTAAAAAACGATCATATCCTACTTTGAGGGTAGGACAGAGAAATTTCCATCGTCGGAAGACATTTTCCTGTCTTAGCCTACAGCTAGGGAATCTATTTATTTCAGGAAGAATGCATCCCAGTTCACCTGAACTGTTTAGCATATTTTATTGATGTTTACATATCGTATATTTAATACTTAAGTTATCATTTATCTTAATGTATACGAGGAGACTGGGAGTCTCGGAGTCATGTAGATATTTGTTTTCTACTCTGTTATCTGTTTTATTCAAAGAATTGTTTTGATGATCGTTTGATCACTTGCCTCTTTCAGGTGCTGAGCGATTCAGTCGGGATGTTGAGATAATGACAGGCTCGCCGGTACCTGTGATAATCCGAATATCATGGTGTTTAGTGACACCTGTTATCATGATAGTAAGTACACGTGACCTGTGTTAATCTATTCAAAAGATATTTTATCAACAAAGTATTACTGACAATCTGAATTTACACTAATTCTCTTAAGATGAAATAGATGTTGAATATACAATAGATTTCAATGATTCGGTGAAATTCCAAAGTTTAAAAAAAGCCATTGATCTACATGGTGAGTACAATTTTGATAAGAAAATCAACACTATCTCAGCGCCAAGGTACTATCATGTATTTTTAAATCAGTTGCATATCGTATATACTGTATATGCATGACATCTTCCTCTTACAATTCTTTGTCATAAATAATCAGCCATGTTTACGTTATGTAACTTCCCCTCTAACATTGGTGTTGCCGGTAAGCGCAGTTGTAATACACTTGCCTTTCACATTGCCATCTGGGGTTCGATTCCCGGCACGGACTTGAAAGGTTTTGGAGTCACTTACCCGACCATGTAGGTTTCCACGGGATTAATGATTTCCTCCCACAGTAAGACCCCTAGAGCGCTTCCTTCCAGGCCAAAAGAAGCAAATAATATAAGCTTAAATTTTAAATTTAGAAAATTAAAAAGGTAAAGTCATTTAGTGTTATTTTTGTGTGACATGGTTTTCAAAAGTTTAATTTGTGAATTTTTGTCGAAGAATTTTACCCAATGCATTAAAACATTGACTTTGCATTAACGGCTAACATAATGATGAGAGTAAAATTTAGGTGTTCCTGTTATTGTAACGTCATAAATGTTCCTTCCCGTTAATAAGTTCACTCCATTGTATATGAACAAGAAAGAAAAAATTCCGCCCTAAGATTTACATTCAATAAAACTTGATGCCTAATCCATATTGACCAAAACACTGTTACTGATGAAAATATCAACAGTAATTTTTTTATAATATGATTATAATCGATGCACTTGCATGATGCCGAACTTTCCAGTAGGTTACTTGTTTTATATCGCCTGTCATAACATTAAATAATATTTTTAAATACGATGCTACTACATGCTCTTATTTAGAAAACCTGAGATTATGAAGATTCGGTCTTGTTTCCAGAGGAAAATGTCGATAACTAAGGTTATTGACCCCCTTTTGTGCTTATTCTCAGCGTTCTTTATTTATATCTTTTGAAGATATTTTGCCCTAGTTTTGTTGAATTTGAGTTTGGATTGAGATTATTTTCACATGTTTATATTTTCATGTTTTTTTCATGATAGTCTCTGAAACAAGTGGTCTTATACATTATCAGGAATCTGTGTATACTTGTATGGATTGTTTGTGAGTATCCATTGCTTTATGTTTAAACACATGATTAGGTACAGCTCATCCAAATATGTTATCTCCCCCAGATCCTGATTATTATAGCCCTCTCGAAGTACGAGGAGCCAACATATAAAGGATACATGTATCCCTCCTATACCAGTGTACTAGGTACCTTCATTTGTCTGGCTGCAGTGATTCCATTACCCATCGTCACATGTCTCGACATTATCAGAACACCTGGAACCTTCACGCAGGTAAATATATACATATCAAAAGTAAATCTTTATCTGCAAGTTGAAAACAGGAGACAAACATGTTCTACAGTAACTTCTAACCTCACATCCAAGGTACTGAATAACAGGTAAAAATGTATATTTCATGCAGAATCCTGACACATGCTTTCATGTAAAATGCGATTACGTTGATGATGAACCGTCACAGACTACCAACAGACACAATGCAATAACCAACACAACCTATACACGTAGAGCTCATTTGAAAGTCAAATTCAATCACAACAGTATAACTACAGAAATCCAATTAATTGTATTTTTCCACGAATTTTATCCTTTTTATATTTTTATATCAGACATGATATTTGCATTTCCGTTGTTTTGTATTGATAACCTTACAAAGGTATAATCAATATATAAACAATCATATCTATAGCATAACAGAACCTGTTTTCCTTTCGGAAACACTAACATGATTCACAGCAATTGCCTACTATTACTATCCACCACAACACAGCACAATACACATATCCTATTCTTCCACAACAAGCAGTACAAAATATATCGTTTTTTTAACCATGATTTTGTTTTGCCATTTCAGTTTTGCTCATCATGTGAATAGCACATTTTAAATTTAGGATTAAGGTTTAGTAAAGCTAAATAATTAATTAGTCAGCACAATACAGCTATTTAATCATTCTAGGACTCGTCAGTGATGCCTAAAATTATAGTCATAGGAGGCGATTGTGGAAAATTAAAAAATTATCGAAAGAAAAGTCAAAACCTAGGTGGAGAGATGCAGTAGCTCTTTAAGTCAATACCTTAATTCAGTTCAGCAATTTATAGGACGGCTTATTAGATGTTCAATTCATATAAATATATCTGCATTTTGAGTTTTTGTATGTCATTGTGGCACCTATTTAATTCTAATATTGCATTGTTGCAGAGAATAAAGAGCTTAATTCATCCACCTGTATCATGGGGACCAAAATGTGTGGAGGCGAGACAAACTTACAAAATGTTGAAATACAGTAAAAGTATTTGGCGGAATATGAAGACAAACCTATCTGGAACGCGATGATTTTGTTTTGAAAATCTTTAAACTTCGATATCTTTTATTGAGCTTGATCAGAAAGTTTGTTGCAAAACAATCGATTGATTAGAATTTTTTTACACAGAAATACAGAACGAGTCATCAGAATGTTTTGTTGTTTTTTCGTCATTATAAACATTAGTCTTCTCTGATTGGTAATATTGAGATACAATGCATTGTGCAACGGCTGTTAGCTCGACATTGCTTTTTGGAAAAAATAATTACAGAAAAATGACTTTACACAAAGTCGTGAGAAATTTAAGAAAAAAAAGAAAGATAATCTTTCTATGATGTTATGATTTTCCTCTTTCTTGGACGTAATACCTTTGCTTCTTATATGTTTTGGTAGATTGATAAAACTGTCATAATGATTCATAAATTATGCACACTAAATGCAGACAAGCTAAACGAAGGTTGAAGAGGATTTTGGGGAAGTGTATGATTGCAATGCTTTAAATTGTAAGGAAGTCTGCTCGTGCCACTAGTGAATTTTATTATGTTGCGGCTGTCATTAAATCTATCTGACGGTCGCCACTAACTTATCAGATGGCCACCAGTTAATTAATCTGGTAACCGTCACTAGCTTATCAGGTGACCACCATTTCGTTTTCTGACGGTTGCTACTAACTTATCTGGTGGCCACCATTTCGTTTTCTGACGGCCGTCACTATCTTATCAAGTGTGGTCGCCAGAAAATTTAGTTGCGATCGGCAGAAAATTTTATCTTTCACTACTGGCACTACCAGGCTTCCGTAAAATTGTACTTATTACTATGATTCGTCGTTTTTTGTCACTAACACTATTTCAACTTAAAGGACATGGTACTACAGGGATTTTCAATTTTTTTGCATAGAGATCATGCTGCCGACAAATATATAAACTTCTACTATCTTCTTACAATTTCTCTATCTAGTGATGCAACTCATGTAAAACAATACAAATATCCTGACCATGAATATGAATTTAGATAACAGTTTGATATCTAGTTTCAAGGCATGTAGTTAATCTATTTATGGTTAATGTTTATGTCCGTCAATTGATATGTCGTTGAAAAAGAAATAAGAATTTGCCATAATCCTTAAATGGATACTTAGATATACAGTTATGTAAATCCTCTATCTCATCTGATTTTATATCATTGTGTTGCCAAGGTATCTGATACATTTGAAAATAGGAAATGGAAAGATATCTTGCAAATATTTTCTTACATGTCTTTTACGTTAAACCTCCAATTCGTTGTTGACATAAAAACATAAAAAAATATCGCGACGAGCTATGCTTACAGGCTGACAAACATGTCTAGAAAATAAGAAAATAAATATCGATAAAATTGCACTATAACATACCGTTAAAAGCAAAACACAACGTGTAAACAATCATCGATCCAAAGATTCATACAGAAGCGAGTACGAAAACTAATGCACAAAATGCCAAATAATAGAATGTATGTTCAAAACATGGTGTTCATCATACCTTGCCAAAAGGGAAACTTAGGCGGAAAATCTGTTTTGTTTTCAACCTTGTGAGGAAAACATCCCTATGTTATATCCATTCTTATACTCTATTGGATGATGCCGGATACTGCTGAGCTGATAACATGTGGACTATTATCATTACTGACTGGTCTTTTTCTGAAAGTGTGGTTAGGGGTTTAACCACAGAAGAAAGTGGAATGTCGGGCTAGCATTGTTAATTATTCTCATTTACCAGTTTTAACGCGCAAGAAAAAAACTTAAGGAATGATTTGCTTGTTTTTACGCATATAACAGAGATTAGATCATGCATTTTGGTTTCTTATCGAGTATTAAAACACCAAATCCATTATCTAAAATCCCCAGTTTATGCAAACAACACGTTTACTCTCCCCATTACAAAATAATTTGAGTCTAAGTGTAATGTAATTATCTCAATGTCAATGAATGTCAACAAAAACTGAGACCTGCACTTTTGAAATTGTTACTGACATCATCTCGGCCATTCAAAAAGCTCCTTTCAACTATTGATGACGTAACGGCTTCGCTGACGTTCCAGTCAAGGTGTCAATAGATTCGGATCAGGATGAAGATGGACATTCATATGCCTGGATTTTCTGATCCATTAAGTCACTGCAGGTCTGACTAAACTGGTGGTGGGATATCTGCCTTTGTTAAAGATAATACCGCAGTCAAGCGAAAGAATGACCTAGAGCTACCTACCGTTTAGTGCGTCTAGCTTGAACTAGTCCTTGGGAGGGATACGATGCTGTACGATACATTCTATAGACCACCAAATAACTTGGTCATACATTTCCCAATCTATTGACAATGCTCTCAATACTGGTATGCCGAACATAATGATCACTGACGATTGCAATGCTTACCTGTTAATAAACTAGCAGTCTACTCACTTACGTAACCTGCTTATTTCTTTTAATATAACACAACTTGTAGAAGATCCAACGTTTTACACTGTAGCTTCTTATTCACTACTCGATAATGTTTGCACTAGTAATGCCAATATAATCAATAAATTTATTGAAGGTGAGAGTTTTCTAGACCAACCCATCAGATACCACAGTCCAACTTTCTGTTCTATCAACATTGTTAAACCAGTGCAACAGTACTTCAAGTGTCATTTTTGGCTGTTTAAACATGGTAACTATTTGTCACTCAGAGAAAAACAGGTAATTTGGACTACCTACTTGATGTTGATAAACAAAATTCCGTGGTGAAAAACTTCATTTCTACCTTACTTTATATCGCTAAATCTTGCATTCCGAATAAAGTCATAACCGTCAAATCTAACTTTCCTCCTTGGATGACTAATGAAATTTGTAAACTTATCCGCAAACGCAAACGAGTACATAGGAGAGCCATATTTACCATAAATAACGCTCATTGGTTGTCTTTCCGGCACGTTCGAAATGTATGTGTTAACGCCACCAAGAAGGCTAAAATTAAACATGTTGATATCTTATGAGGACAACTTAAGAAACCCTCTAATCTTAGTGCGAGGGACTGGTGGTAAACTGTTCGATTATTATTGCCCAACTCCGGTAAATTTTGCATACCCTCTCTGATACACAATGATAATATAATCTCTGACGGTTTCAGAAAAGCTTGCCTGTTTAATATTTTTTCTGCGCTCAGGCAGACGTCGATGATTTTAAAATGAATCTCCCTTCTATTGACGATAAAACTAACGCACATTTACTAACATCAGATATAACAATCACTGATGTTCAAGACTCCATTCTAAATCTTGATTATTAAAAAGCTGTCGGTCTTGATCGTGTCAATACTCGTTTACTGAAAGAACCTCAGATATCCGTTGTTGTCCTGTAAGTTATCTTTTCAATAGATATATTAGCACCAGTGTTTTCCTACTGAATGGAAAATGGCTAATGTTACCCCAGTTTACAAGAAAGATAACAAGTCTATTCTTAGCAATAACGGGCCCATCTTTCGTTTATCAATAGTAGGAAAATTAATTGAACCACATCTTTAAAATATGTATATGACTTCATACTTACCCATTCCTTATTATCACCTTTCCAGTCAGGTTTTAGGCATGGCGACTCACTAACCAAATTGTTTCTATCTATTATTAATGATATGTATTTTTCTCTTGACCAAGGCAAAGAAATATGAATGATCTTCTGCGATATTTCCAAAGCATTTGATCGTGTTTGGCACAAAGGTCTTCAGCGTAAATTATCCAGTTTCGGAAATCATTGTCCACTTCTTTCATGGTTCGAGCTCTATCTTCTCAACAGGAAACAAAGAGTTGTTATTAATGGTAAACATTCTAATTGGTCCTATATTAAGGCCGGTGTGCCACAAGGCTCCATTCTTGGATCTCTTCTTTTTTATATTTGGCAATAATATTGTGGAAAACATCAATTCCATTGTTACATTATTTGAAGACGACACATCGCTGTATGTTATTAATGATACACCTATGATAAGCGGAGATATCTTAAACCATGATCTTAAAAGGTCCACGAATGGTCACAAGGTAGGTTAGCGAACTTCAACCCTACTAAAAACAGAAGCACTTCTAATCTGAAAGTCTGAAAACTGTCACTCCTAACCATGCACCACTAGCAATGCATAATGCTAACATTTCCGAAGTAACGTCTCACAAACACCTTGGCGTGTTTCTTTCTAATAATGGGAGTTGGAATATTCACATTAACTACTTACTTACAAAAGTTTCGCCAAAGTTAAATAGTTTACGGAAATTTAAGTTTATTTTAGACCTATCACGCTTCAAACCTTGTATATTTCTATTATTCGGCCAATGTTAAAATACGAAAACATTATCTTGGACAATCTCATCCAAGCACAATCTGATTTTCTGGAAAATGTCCAGTTAGATGCTGCACGCACTGTCACTGGTGCAACAAGACTAACAAGTAGATCCAAACTCTATGCAGAAACTGGCTGGCTTTCACTTAACCGAAGACGCACACATCACAAGGTAATCCAATTTCACAAAATTGTTTATGGATAAGTACCTCAATACCTCAAAGATCTGCTTCCTGCACGTAACAATTGACACAGTCATAACACTAACACTGCCTATAGCGTCGTACAAGCTTATATGGAAAAGTCTTTCTTGCCTTCTGTAATTTGTCCACGGAACATGCTGCCAAATCGTATAAAAGGTGAACCATCAAAAAGTAGACGAAAAAACATCTAAACAAGCCTAACATTGCTGCCGTTTTAGTATACAAGTAGCAGAATGGGTCAGATTCTCCACGCCAGACTACTAATTGAATACAGTTCCCTCAAATTCTACTTGTTTACGAAAAAAACAAAAACAAAAAAAAAAAACTCGCTAATAGTCCACTATGTCTATGCAATGATGGGAGCGAATCAAATAAACATTTTTTATTATATTGTCGTCACTTCCACCAACTGCGCGTACATATCTTTAGTGAGCTAATTTGCCAGATTTCAACGCTATTACTACTCGATGCAAGCGAGGAACGGTCGGTAGATGAA